TCCCACACCCCCCTCCCACCCCCTCCTGTGTCTCCCTCCCCACCCCTCCATCCCCTCCCTGTATCTCCCTCACCCCCCTCCATCCCTCCCTGTGTCTCCCCTCCCCACCCCCCCTCCCACCCCTCCTGTATCTCCCCTCCCACACCCCCTCATCCCCTCCTGCTTGTCTCCCCTCACACCCCCTCCCACCCCTCCCTATCTCCCCTCCCCCCCTCCCACCCCTCCCTGCCTCCCTCACCCCTCCCACCCCTCCCTGCTATCTCTCTCACCTCCCTCACCCCTCCCCCTTCCCTCACCCCTCCACCCCTCCTGTATCTCCCTCCCCCCTCCCACCCCTCCCTCTCCCTCACACCCCTCACCCCCTCTGTATCTCCCCTCCCACCCCCTCACCCTCCTGTATCTCCCTCCACACCCCCCCCTCCACACCTCCTGTACCTCCCTCCACCTCCACCCCCTCCTGCCCATCTCCCTCACACCCCCTCCACCCCTCCTGTGTCTCCCTCACCCCTCCCACCCCTCCTGTATCTCCCCTCACCCCCCTCCCCCCTCCTGTATCTCCCCTCACACCCCTCATCCCTCCTGCTTACCTCCCTCCCACACCTCCCACCCCTCCTGTATCTCCCTCACACCCCTCACCCCTCCTGTATCTCCCCTCCCCCCCTCCATCCCTCAGTGTCCCCTCCCACACCCCTCCCACCCCTCCTGTCTCCCCTCACACCCCTCCACCCCTCCTGTATCTCCCCTCCCCACACCCCTCCACCCCTCCTGTATCTCCCCTCACACCCCCTCCCACCCCTCCTGTATCTCCCTCCCACCCCCTCCCACCCCTCCTGTATCTCCCTCCACCCCCTCCACCCCTCCCTTATCTCCCTCACACCCCTACCCCTCCTGTATCTCCCCTCACACCCCTCACCCCTCCTGTATCTCCTCCACCCCCTCCACCCCTCCTGTATCTCCTCCCCCCCTCCACCCCTCCTGTATCTCCCTCACCCCCCTCCACCCCTCCTGTATCTCCCCTCACCCCCTCCACCCCTCCTGTATCTCCCCTCACACCCCTCCACCCCTCTGTACCTCTCCACACCCCCTCCACCCCTCCCTGTACCTCCCTCACACCCCCTCCATCCCCTCCTGTATCTCCCTCCCACCCCCCTCCCACCCCTCCTGTATCTCCCCCCACCCCTCCCACCCCTCCTGTGTCTCCCTCACACCCCCCTCCACCCCTCCTGTATCTCCCTCACACCCCCTCCCACCCCTCTGTATCTCCCCTCCCCACCCCTCCCACCCCTCCTGTATCTCCTCACCCCCTCCCCCTCCTGTCTCCCCTCACCCCCTCCACCCCTCCTGTCTCCCCCACCCCCTCCCCACCCCTCCTGTATCTCCCCTCCCACCCCCCCCTCCCACCCCTCCTGTCTCCCCTCCCACCCCCTCCACCCCTCCTGCATCTCCCTCCACCTCCACCCCTCTGTATCTCCCCACCCCCCTCCCACCCTCTGCAACTCCCTCACCCCCTCCACCCCTCCTGTATCTCCCCCACCTCCCACCCTCCTGTCTCCCTCACACCTCCACCCCCTCCTGTATCTCCCCACCCCTCCACCTCCCTGTGTCTCCCCCTCACACCCCCCTCCCCACCCCTCCTGTATCCCCTCCCACACACCCCCTCCCACCCCTCCCTGTACCTCTCTCCCCCTCCCACCCCTCCTGTATCTCCCCCCACCCCCTCCATCCCCTCCTGTATCTCCCTCACACCCCCTCCATCCCTCCTGTATCTCCCCACCCCCTCCCATCCCTCCTGTATCTCCCCTCCCCACCCCTCCCCCCCTCTCTTATCTCCCCCCACCCCTCCCCCCCCCCCCTCCTGTATCTCCCCACCCCCCTCCCACCCCTCCTGTATCCCTCCCCACCCCCTCCCACCCCTCCTGTATCCTCCCCTCACACCCCCCCTCCCACCCCTCGTTCTCCCTCCACCCCTCCATCCCTCCTGTATCTCCCCACCCCCTCCACCCCTCCTGTCCTCTCCCTCCCACCCCCTCCCCACCCCTCTGTACCTCCCTCCACACCCCTCCACCCCTCCTGCTGTCTCCCTCACCCCCCTCCACCCCTCCTGTATCTCCCCTCCACCCCTCATCCCTCCCTGTATCTCCCCTCCCACCCCTCCACCCCTCCTGTTCTCCCTCACACACCCCTCCCACCCCTCCTGTCTCCCCTCACACCCCCCTCCCACCCCTCCCTGCATCTCCCCCACACACCCCTCCCACCCCTCCCTGTGTCCCCTCACACCCCCCTCCCACCCCTCCTGTATCTCCCTCACACCCCCCTCATCCCCTCCCTGTATCCCTCACACCTCCCACCCCTCCTGTGTCTCCCCTCCCACCCTCCACCCCTCTCTTATCTCCCCCCACACCCCCTCCCACCCCTCCCTGTCTCTCCCCTCCCACACCCCCTCATCCCCTCAGTATCTCCCTCACACCCCTCCCACCCCTCCTGTATCTCCCCCCACCCCCTCCACCCCTCCTGTATCTCCCTCACACCCTCCACCCCTCCTGTATCTCCTCCCCCCCTCCACCCCTCCTGTATCTCCCTCCCACCCCCTCCCACCCCTCCTGTACCTCCCCTCACACCCCCTCCACCCTCTGTGCCTCTCCCACCCCCCTCCATCCCTCCTGTATCTCCCCTCCCACCCCCTCCCCCCTCCTGTCTCCCCCCCACCCCCCTCCCACCCCTCCTGTATCTCCCCCCCCCTCCCACCCCTCCTGTATCTCCCCTCCCACACCCCCCTCCATCCCCTCCTGCATCTCCCCTCACACCCCCTCCCACCCCTCCTGTATCTCCCTCCCACACCCCTCCATCCCTCCTGTCTCTCCCTCCCCCCCCTCCCATCCCTCCTGTATCTCCCCTCCCCCCCCCCTCCACCCCTCCTGTGTCTCCCCTCACACCCCCTCCATCCCCTCCTGTACCTCCCTCACACCCCCTCATCCCCTCCTGTATCTCCCTCCACCCCTCCACCCCTCCTGTATCTCCTCACACCCCTCCATCCCTCAGTATCTCCCTCACCACCCCCTCCACCCCTCCTGTATCTCCCCTCACACCCCTCCATCCCTCCAGTATCTCCCCTCACCCCCTCCACCCCTCCTGTATCTCCCTCCCACCCCCTCCCATCCTCCCAGTATCTCTCCACCCCCTCCCCCTCCTATACCTCCCTCCACCCCTCCACCCCTCTGTATCTCCCTCCACACCCCTCCACCCCTCCTGTATCTCCCTCACACCTCCCTCCCACCCCTCCTGTGCCTCCCCCCACACCCCTCCCACCCCTCCTGTATCTCCCTCCCACCCCTCCACCCCTCCTGTGCTCCCTCCACACCCCTCCCACCCCTCCCTGTACCTCCTCACACCCCCTCCCACCCCCTCCTGTATCTCCCCTCACACCCCCTCCCACCCCTCCTGTGTCTCCCTCCCACCCCCCTCCCACCCCTCCTTCCTCTCCCCTCCCCACACCCCTCTCCCACCCCTCTGTGTCTCCCCACCCCCCTCCCACCCCTCCCTGTCTCCCTCACCCCTCCACCCCTTCTGTCTCCCCCACACCCCTCCACCCCTCCTGTATCTCCCTCACCCCCTCCACCCCCTCCTGTATCTCCCCACACCCCCTCCACCCCTCTGTGTCTCCTCCACCCCCTCCACCCCTCTGTATCTCCCCACCCCTCCACCCCTCCTGCTTCCCCTCACACCCCTCCCACCCTCCTGTTCCCCCACCCCCTCCACCCCTCCTGTCTCCCCTCCCCACACCCCTCCACCCCTCCTGTATCTCCCTCACACCCCTCCACCCCTCCTGTATCTCCCTCACACCCCCTCCCCCCTCCTCTACCTCCCTCCCATCCCCTCCCACCCCCTCCCACACCTCTCTGCCCCCCTTCAAACCTCCTCACTACCTCCCCTGCCTGAGGTGAGGTGAGGTGAGGTGAGTGAGGTGGTGATGGTGAGTGAGGTTATATCTTGCGGAATAGGGACTAAGCACTGAATAATATATAGTAAAACAATATTTTTTGTTTGAAACCTGAGCCTTTGTTATAGGTTTGTTTACACTCTGGGGTGATGTTTATACGTTTGTTTACACTCTGGGGTGATGTTTATACATTTGTTTACACTCTGGGGTGATGTTTATATGATTGTTTGCCTCTGGGTATTTATACGTTTGTTTACACTCTGGGGTGATGTTTATGTTTGTTTTACACTCTGGGGTGATGTTTATACGTTTGTTTACACTCTGGGGTGATGTTTATACGTTTGTTTACACTCTGGGTGATGTTTATACGTTTGTTTACTGGGGGTGATGTTTATACGTTTGTTTACACTCTGGGGTGATGTTTATACGTTTGTTACCTCTGGGGTGATGTTTATATGTTGTTTGCACTATATGATGTTTGTATTTGTTTACATTCTGGGGTGACGTATAGCTCAGTTTCAGGGTGACGTATTAGCTCAGGGTTCAGGGGAGTGACGTATGGCTCAGGGTTCAGGGGTGACTGTATAGCTCAGGGTTCGGGGAGTGACGTATAGCTCAGGGTTCAGGGAGTGACGTTGGGGTGATGTATGGCTCAGGTTCAGGGAGTGACGTATGTCAGGTTCGGGGTGACTGGCTCAGGGTTCGGGGAGTGACGTATGGCTCAGGGTTCGGGGTGACGTATGGCTCAGGGTTCAGGGGTGACGTATGGCTCAGGGTTCAGGGAGTGACGTATGGCTCAGGGTTCAGGGGTGACGTATGGCTCAGGGTTCGGGGTGACGTATGGCTCAGGGTTCGGGGTGACGTATGGCTCAGGTTCAGGGGAGTGACGTATGGCTCAGGGTTCCGGGGAGTGACGTGTATCGGGTTCGGGGTGACGTATGGCTCAGGGTTCAGGGAGTGACGTATGGCTCAGGGTTGGGGTGACGTATACTCAGGGTTCAGGGGGGTGACGTATGGCTCAGGGTTCAGGGTGACGTATGGCTCAGGGTTCAGGGAGTGACGTATGGCTCAGGGTTCAGGGAATGACGTATGGCTCAGGGTTCAGGGGGTGACGTATGGCTCAGGGTTCAGGGTGACGTATGGCTCAGGGTTCGGGAGTGACGTATGGCTCAGGGTTCAGGGGTGACGTATGGCTCAGGGTTCGGGGTGACGTATGGCTCAGGGTTCGGGGAGTGACGTATGGCTCAGGGTTCAGGGGGTGACGTATGGCTCAGGGTTCAGGGAGTGACGTATGGCTCAGGGTTCGGGGGAGTGACGTATGGCTCAGGGTTCAGGGGTGACGTATGGCCAGGGTTCAGGGTGACGTATGGCTCAGGGTTCAGGGGTGACGTATGGCTCAGGGGAGTGACGTATGGCTCAGGGTTCAGGGGAGTGACGTATGGCTCAGGGTTCAGGGAGTGACGTATGGCTCAGGGTACAGGGAGTGACGTATGGCTCAGGGTTCAGGGGGTGACGTAGAATAATGACTTCAAGTTTCATATCAATAGTCCTTGTTGTTCTTGTGATGGCGAGACAAGACGCAGCTGACGCTTCGAATCTTCGGACCCGGATTCGAACCCTTAGCAAGCCAAGCCATCCTTGACTTACTTACTCCATTACCGAACCTAAACTAACTTAACTAGCCTAACCTTACGTAACCTTACATGACCCTACATGACCTTACCTTGACAGAGTTGGTCCATGGAAGATGTTATTATCATTGGTGAATTGCGTAATATGAGTAGAGGTTTGTTTGGTGGTAATGTGGAAGGTGGGATGAACTGTATTTTAAAGAGAGAGAGAGAGAGAGAGAGAGAGAGAGAGAGAGAGAGAGCTTCACACATATCCACCACCTCACCTCCATCAACCTGAACTGCCGACATCATCATCACCATTAATTTCTAAACACACGAGGCAAATTTCACTCCCCACCACCTCCCCACGCCGACTAAACGCGTAAAATCAGGATTTATTTATTCTACAATCTAATTATCCGCTTAACTGCCGCTTGGTAAATATATCATTAACATATTTAACCAATTTGGTACATTAGCTCATTACGGTAATTAATAGGTTGAAGGTTAGTCAGGGTGTTGGATCACGCTGGAGGGTTGGACGCGAGAAATTGCTGGGATTGAGGTGTCGTGTTTATATTTTAGTCTACGTTAGGTGTTTACTCTCCAAACTCTCATGAATATATGTGAACATGTTACAGTAATGTTTGGTTTAGACTGGATGGAACACTTGAAGATTAGCCCTCTGATTTTATTCTACCTGATTAAACAGTAATATTAACTTAACTAAACCTAACCTAATATGGGCTAACTTAATCAAATCTATCCTAGGCTAATAAAATTCTAACCAAAACAATCTACCAGGACTTAAAAAACAAAAAATACCTTACAGTTAGTACCATCCCAACATTACCCGGGACAATATTCCACCCGGCCACTGCTCTACCCCCCCAGAATAACTTAGCACTGGCAAGCTATCTTCATCGGTAGCATCTTTAGCCTGAGATAAGTTAGTCAAGTGACATCTCTAGCGACACGACATTCAATTAATCCCAGAAGTGTATAATTTGACCCTGTAATGCCCATTGAAGTAGGTGTATACTTAATGCCTCTCTAATGCCTCTCTAATGCCTCTCTTGGTCTTATAAAATACAGACGTGACATATGTGAAAATTCCAGTCAGTGGTGGTAAGTGAGGTGTTAAGAGTGGAAGCACCAGTTAACTGTAGTTTGTTTATCAATAGTCTCTACCAGCTGAGAGTCTCTAGAGTACACAGTATGTAAAAAAGCAGAAATTTGGACGCATAATGTCTTTTAAGTCATCATACCCGAGGGATTAAGTCATCATACCCGAGGGATTAAATCATCATACTCGAGGGATTAACTGGCAACTACATTTTTTTTTATAAGACTTTGCAAATTATTGGAACATCGTCTTGGGAAGGTGAGACTCATTTCTTCCACCTCTCTCTCTCTCTCTCTCTCTCTCTCTCTCTCTCTCTCTCTCTCCCCCAACACAGCCTAGGGTCTCATCCCACAGTGTTATCAATAAATGTCATCTCCCAAGTTCCTACCTGTGTGTGCGTGTGACTGATGGACCATGTTGCAACGCCCACCTGCCTTCCTGCTTGCCTGTTTACCCGTTTGTCTGCTTACCTCCCTGCCTTCTTGCTTGCCTGTTTACCCGTTTGTCTGCTTACCTCCCTGTCTTCCTGCTTCCCTGTTTACCCGTTTGTCTGCTTACCTCCCTGCCTTCCTGCTTGCCTGTTTTACCGTTGTCTGCTTACCTCCCTGCCTTCCTGCTTGCCTGTTTACCCGTTTGTCTGCTTACCTCCCTGCCTGCCTACCACCTCCCTGCCTGCCTACCTTCCTTCTAGTTGTTTTTCCTTTTTGTTCAGCCATCACACACACACACACACACACACACACACACACACAGAAAAATACTAGCTTATTCCAATACTCAAATTTCTATCAACACCACCAACAACAACAAAACAAAATCAAACAAAACACAAAGAAACACAAACAAACACAAACAAACAAACAAACAAACAAACAAAAACACAAAATCGTAAGCTAAGGGACATATTTCAGATGGTGACTTGAGAACTGTTAACCTTTTGGACCACCTTAATAAGAGCTTCCATAACTATGCGATACCTCCACATAACGGATTACTCTCCATAACATTTAACGGACACTCGATATAACGTACTTTCATCGCCATATAGTTCGTTAAATAGAAGTATCATTATAAACAGGCAGCTGAGAGAGAGAGAGAGAGAGAGAGAGAGAGAAGGAAGAGTGAATAAGGTAAGGAAAACAAAAAAGAAAAGGAACGAGAGGTTAAAATAAATAAAGAACAATGAAGAATGAGATAGAGGGAGGAGGAGGAGGGAGGAGGAGGGGGAGGAGGGAGGGGAAGAGGCCGGAGGAGGTCATTAGAAACATTTGTCCACTGCACCCTATTCAGGCGACCAACCCTGCCCCACCCACCTGGTCCTGACACTGACCTGGCCTGACACCCCTGACACCTGGTCCTGACACCCGCTCACACATGGGCTGACTTTCTTTAATATGTATGTATGTATGGCATGTATGTATGTATGTGTGTGTATGTATGTATGTATGTATGTATGTATTGTATGTATGCTCAGTACTTTGTTTGGACACCAAATGTGTGATGGAAAGAAGAGAGGGAGAGGAATGGGGGAGGGAGGAATGGGGAGGAGAGGAATGGGGGAGGAGAGGAGGGAGGGAGGGAGAAAGAAAGAGAGTAGAGAAGGCCTGTGGGGGGGGGGGGGGCAGTCTTAATAATGGTAACAAAATGAAAAAAAAAACCGAACAAGTAATGAAAGTGACAGGGGTAGTTTACTTGCTACAGAAAGTACCACAAAAACCCCTCGAGACGCGAACCTACAGAGGAGTGAAAGGCATTACATGTACACAATGAACCCAGACAAAACCCACAGATCAACAACTGAGAAATAGTTATATATAAAGTAGATTATAGATATTGGTTGAAAATTTCATCTGGTACTCACTCACTCTCTCTCTCTCTCTCTCTCTCTCTCTCTCTCTCTCTCTCCTTACTTCTCCCTTATTTTCTCTCCCTTCCTCTCATCCTTTCTCCCCTTTATCTCTTTTTTGTCCTTTCTTCGCCTCATCTTTCTATCTCTGCCTTTCCCCTATCTACCTCCCCCTCTATCAACATGGTTCCCAAAAAGTTACCAAATCTCAAAAGGTCCATTACCACCCCCGATCTACACGGCCAGGCAATAGACAACCTCCCTAGACCAGCATCCGCCAGTAGGGTCGGCGGAATATGATATAAGGCCCTTAAAACACCCATATATGGGATAGGGTAGGATGTCTAGTGCCTGTACCGACAGATAATAACTAACCCATGACACAACCCTAACACACTACTAGCTTAGCTAACCCATAACAAGGCGGTCAGGCCCCCACCCCTCTCTTGCCGCCTCCTAATTTCTTTAATTTCTGAACTATAACTTCCTTCCTCCACCTCTACTCTTCTTTCACTATCTCTTTCTCTACAAAAAAAAAATCCTTTCCTGTCTCCCTCTCCCTCCTTCACATCACTCGAAACAAGGTTAATAAAGTACTTGGGTTCATACAAAGGCGTGTTAGTTACAAGACGAGAGAAGTCATCCTAAACCTATATCTTACGCTTGTGAGACCTCACTTGCATTACGCAGTTCAATTCTGGTCACCGTATTACAGAATGGATATAGAATCCTTGGAAAGAATCCAGAGGAGAATGACAAGACTAACCCCGGGCATTAGGAACCTTGAGTATAGAGACAGGTTAAAGCATCTTAATTTGCACTCCCTCGAGAGACGTAGAGCGAGGGGCGACCTGATCGAGGTGTATAAATGGAAGTCAGGGCTAAACAAAGGTGATGTAACAAAGGTACTCAAACTATCCAACCAGGAGCGAACTCGTAACAATGATTATCGGGCCAAGAGAGAGAGAGAGAGAGAGAGAGAGAGAGAGAGAGAAAAGATCCAGAAAGAGAGGAAAAAAAAAGAAAATAAATACTAGAAAGAAGAATAAGATTGTAATGGTGTAGTTAAAGGCGTGTGAGAGAGAGTACATCCCTGTGCCACAACATGTTCTAAGGTGCGCCATTTACCTAGACCAAGAACACAAAAAAAATATTAGTCTGTTGTATTCATCTTGGCGTTCCCTTACGACACACACACACACACACACACACACACACACGCACGCGCACGCACGCACACACCCGGCTTGGTATAGTAAACAAAGAGGGAAGAATGATGATGATGATGATGATGATGATGATGATGATAATGATGATGATAATGATTCAGCACCATTATTTACATTGTTAAAACATAAATTTGTCTCATGTGTTGGTTATAGGTCACAGGTTAGGTTAAGTTAGGTTAGGTTAAGTTAGGTTAGGTTAAGTTAGGTTAGGTTAAGTTAGGTTAGGTTGAGTTAGGTTAGGTTAGGTTAGGGTACAGAGGAGTCTACTCCCCCACAGGTGTGCTCACCATACCTGGCCACCCATTAACGTCAACATTAACCCTTCTCAGCAGGTCTAGTTTACCTCTGTATCAGTAACCTGTTTGACGTTGTAATATAAAGACCACTCAGACCCTCTCAAGACCACTCAGACCCTCTCAAGACCACTCAGACCCTCTCAAGACCACTCAGACCCTCTCAAGACCACTCAGACCCTCTCAAGACAACCAAGACCCTCTCAAGACCCTCAGACCTCTCGAGCCACTCAAGCCTTCTAGCAAGACCCTCAGACCCTCTCCAAGACCACTCAGACCTCCTCAAGACCACTCAAACCCTCTCAAGACCATCAGGACCCTCTCAAGACCACTCCAAGCCCTTCTTAGACCACTCGGGCCTATAAGACCACTCCAGGCCTCTAAGACCACTCAGATCCTCTCCAAGACCACTCAGACCCTCTCCAAGACCACTCCAAAACCCTTCTCCAAAGACCACTCAGACCCTCTCCAAAGACCACTCAAACCCTCCTCAAGACCACTCCAAGCCCTTCCCAAAGACCCTCAGACCCTCTCAAGACCACTCAAACCCTCTCCAAGACCACTCAGACCCTCTCAAGACAACCAAGACCCTCTCAAGACCACTCAAGCCCTCTCAAAGACCACTCAAGCCCTTCCAAAGACCACTCAGACCCTCTCAAGACCACTCAAACCCTCCCAAGACCACTCAAATCCTCCTAAGACCATTCAAACCCTTCCCAAAACTACTCAAACCCTTCCGAAGACCACTCAGACCCTCTCAAGACCACCCAGACCCTCTCAAGACCACTCAGACCCTCTCAAGACCACTCAGACCCTCTCAAGACCACTCAAACTCTTCCCAAGACCACTCAGATCCTCTCTAGACCACTCAGACCCTCCAAAGACTACTCAGACCCTCTCAAGACCATGTAATAGGCCCCTGTCTCATCAACAGAACGTATTATATAAATGGGTCAATACATCTGATATTATATTCAGATTCACCACCCTGTAACTCTCCACTGTCTATGAGTAAGACATGATATGGACACGTGAGCGGGCAACTCTCCCAAGAGGGCGAGACCCATAGCTCAGCATTTCTGTAAGCACGCACTGTGATGCCCTTAAGCTTCAGTAGCTCACCTCAACTCATATCGTAAAACCCAAATATAAATATATGTGAACGGACTGGTTAATTGGACAAGCAGCCAATTCAACCACTCAAACACTCAAGATCGCTCAAACCCTCCTAAGACTACTAAGACCCTTTCAAGACATCTCAAACCCTCTCAAGACCACTCAAATCCTCCTAAGACCATTCAAACCCTTCCCAAGACTACTCAAACCCTTCCCAAGACCGCTCAGACCCTCTCAAGACCACCCAGACCCTCTCAAGACCACCCAGACCCTCTCAAGACCACCCAGACCCTCTCAAGACCACTCAAACCTTCCCAAGACCACTCGGACCCTCTCAAGACCACTCAAACTCTTCCCAAGACCACTCAGATCCTCTCTAGACCACTCAGACCCTCCTAAGACTACTCGGACTCTCTCAAGACCACTCAAACCCTTCCCAAGACCACTCAGACTCTCTCAAGACCACTCAAACCCCCGTAAGACCTTTTAAACCCTTCCCAAGACCACTCGGACCCTCCTAAGACCATTTAAACCCTTCCTAAGACCACCCAAATCTTCTTAAAACCTCTCTAGCTTTCTTAAGACCACTCAGACCCTTCCTAAAACCACTCAGACCCTCTCAAGACCACTTAAACCCACCTATGACCATTCAGACCCATTCTTAAAGCACTCTAACCTTACCAAGACCACTCAACCCTTACCAAAGACCACTCAACCCTTACCAAGACCACTCAACCCTACCTAATATACGAAATTCTGCTAAAATATGGAAGGTTATTTGGTTTTAAGATGGAGAGAGAGAGTTTGGTGTTGGGATGGCCAGTTGTGTTTCGGCTTCGTGAAAGTAATAGATACGGTCAGTCAACACTCGGTTATGTGCACCAAAACATACCAGAATTTTTCGACTTAGTTTAGGAGTAATTTGGTCTCAAACTATGGGGGGGTTGGTTTAGTTAGGTTGGGTTAGGGTTATAGTTAGGGTAGGGTAGGTTAGGGTAGGTTAATATTAGGGTTAGGGTAATGTTAAATTAGGTTTGGTTAAGGTTAGGGAAGGGTAGGTTAGGTTTAGGTTAGGTTAGGGTACAGTAGATTAGGTTAGGTTAAGTTAAAGTGATTATATTTAGGTCAGGTTTAGTTAACGCCAGATTAGATTAAGGTTAGGTCAAAGTTAGGTTAAGTTAAGTTAAGTTAGGTTAAGGTTAGGTTAAACTAGATTAGTAAATGGTTAAAGACCCGCATTTACTGTGGCATTTTAACACAAGCGGGTAATAGGAGTGATAACAACTGATAACAACTGATAACAACCTCCTCTGGGGTCTGGTGTTGTAGTTTGTGTCATGTGGTGTTGACTCGTCCCTCGTCAGACCACCAGATAAGAGTCTTCAGCTCATACACACACGTCAGATTACTTAAAATAATAAACAATAAAAAAATTAAAATAAATACAAATAAATAAAAAAAAAAATTCACGCGATTAATTTTTTTATCTTAGAAAATATCGTCTCGTATTTCATCACGTCACAAAAATTTAAAAAAAAAATCTAACCTAAAATTCTTGAAAAATTTTACGAGGATTCTTACCATTATTATTTATTTATGATGATCCATTTACGAGAATAATATAATCTTACGAAAGAGAGAGAAAGATAATTAATGAAAAATGTCAACCTAGAGGCATGGACTGTGTGGTGATACGTATAGATGCATAAACAAATTCGCATCGACTACAACACCTCAGCTAACCCACAACCACATTCCTTCACAAATTTTAAACGATCGAACTATCTAACTACACCAATTAAACACAAAACATATTAAAACTGACCAACACGAAACACCTACACGACAACATCTACTCGTGTCTTCCGTGGCCTCAAGAAGTTCAACACGACACACCACACTTTGCCATACGACCCTTCAACACCACTTTCAGGACGACACACCACGAGCATACACCTGAGGGTTTTAAAAGGACACCAGAGCTCAAGTTTGTATCGACCTTCTCAAACTACCATTAAATTCGTCGCTTGTCACTGAACAGCAACTTGATCAAATCTATAAAAGGGATTTGAGACTGTACCCACTCCCCTTACATTGCCTTATGGGGGGAAGATTGAGAGGAGATGGAGTGGAGGAGGGGTGAGGGAAGGGATTGGAAGGTGAGGAGGAGGAGGAGAAAGGAAAGAGGATGGGGAAGGAAAGGAGGAGGAAAAAGGAGGAGGGAAGAGGAGAAATATAAGAGGAAAGAGATGAGAGGAGACAGAGACAAAGGGGGGGGGGAGAGGATGATGGAGTAGGAGAGATAAGGAGGGAGGGAGGGAGAGGGGGAGGGGAGGAGGGAGGAGGGAGGGAGGGAGGGAGGGAGGGAGGGGAGGAGATAACGATAAGGTTTTAGTTTTTAGTTTAACAAATTTATTGGCAGAGCTTGTAGTACAGTTTGCCTATTGTGAGTAATTCAGTCAGGTCTTGACACTGAGGGTGGTATCACTTCTCACTGCCACGCAGGACGAGGTTCATCCACAAAGAAATACATCATATTCATACACAGCTATATATGTATAGCGGTCAGATTCATGTGGGTAATGTCACTGTTCACTGCCATGCAGGACAGAGGTTCGTACACAAAGAGATGCATCATATTCATTGACACTATATATAGGTCAGATTCATGTGGGTGATGTCACTGTTCACTGCCATGCAGGACAGAGGTTCATACACAGAAGAAAATACATCATATTCATAAGGTTAGTACCCATAAACACTGGGGGTCTGAGTAATGCATCACAAACGTTGACCTTAACTCACTCGTCACAAACGTTGACCTTAACTCACTCGTCACAAACTTTGACCTTAACTCACTCGTCACAAACGTTGACCTTAAATCACTCGTCACAAACGTTGACCTTAACTCACTCGTCACAAACGTTGACCTTAACTCACTCGTCACAAACGTTGACCTTAAATCACTCGTCACAAACGTTGACCTTAAACCACTCGTCACAAACGTTGACCTTAAACCACTCGTCACAAACGTTGACCTTAAATCACTCGTCACAAACGTTGACCTTAAACCACTCGTCACAAACGTTGACCTTAAATCACTCGTCACAAACGTTGACCTTAAATCACTCGTCACAAACGTTGACCTTAACTCACTCGTCACAAACGTTGACCTTAACTCACTCGTCACAAACGTTGACCTTAAATCACTCGTCACAAACGTTGACCTTAAATCACTCTTCACAAACGTTGCTCAGGGCTGACACACACAGACGAGACACACTGATGATAATAAAGTAACTTGATGATAATGAAGAAATATGAAGGAAAACAAACGAAAAACAAAAGAAAATATAGAAGAAATAAAGAAAATTAAAAGTTAAAAATTTTTATTCTTATTTTTACAGTAATTTATTGTTATTAATGAAGATAAATAAATAAATGTGAAAGATAATAAGGGATAGAAAAATAATAAGGATAATGATGATAATTGTGTAGATAAGAGAGAAAATATAATCAATTTCTCTTTCACTTTCTCGCCTAGCTGCTACAATCAGGGCGTGACGAGGAGTGGGTGCTACTGGTCACTGCTTGGCTGGGGTTACCGGATGTGGGCGTGGGGAGTGGTGGTGCGTGGGGGACTTTTTTGGGTGGTGTGTGTGTGTGCTGGTGTGGGCGGTAGACTGGTCTGGGTGGTGTGTGTGTGTGCGCGTGTGTAAGTGCCAAGTTGGACCTGGTTACTGTGATGGGTGGGATAGATACGAAGGCTGCTGGTTGTAAGCTGCACGTGGGCGTGGTAGGCGTGGGTTGTGGTCGTCAGATTTAACACTACGGGCGGGTTGTGAGGAGACGCTGTATCAGACAAAACAGACAACCAATAGTGTGGGCGTCGAGGATGAGGCGTAGGCTGTAACGGATGCAGGTAATGTGTGGGCGTGGTGGGCGTGGAGTGAGGAGATAGTTGCTAGAGTGGGCGGGACATAGGATGCTTCAGAAGGCAGGGAACATCGGTTAAACGGCTGTGGTACACACTTACTGCATCACCACCAACACTGTAGACGTGTGTGTGTGTGTGTGTGTGTGTGTAGGGGGTGCTAGGGTAGGGTATTAGGAAGGTAAGCTAGGAGGGAAAGGCAGGTAGGGGGGAGGGGAGGGGAACACGATGAAGTAGTGCAATGTGTTTACAAGAAGTTTTCCCTCTTGGCCATCAATGAAAACAACTTCCGAGTGTTTACAAAAAAATCCCAGGCTGTTAATAATAACAATAACAATAATAATAATAATAATAATAAATACACAAACTGGACACTTAACTATAACCACAACACGTAACAAGGTCATTAGACACGTAACACCACCGTAACAAGAGTACACACCATTACAACTAAACAAAAGTGTACCGTACATTCCCGTTACTTATGAGAAAATTATCCTATGAAGAGTACATTAAGATAACACGTGTACATTATGATAACACGTGTACATTATGATAACACGTGTACATTAAGATAACAAGTGTACATCGTAAACACAACAAACCAACACAAACACACAAGAGACAACAGGTAAATGTCACACTACTAGCTGGACAGGGGATAAAAACTCGACCTTGTTTTTACTTGAAGATAAAATTATGATGTGGGCGGTCTAGGTGGGGGGAGGGGGGTGTAGGTGGGGGGTGTAGGTGGGGGTGTGGGTGGGGGGTGTGGGTGGGGGGGGTAGGTGGGGGGGTGTGGGTGGGGGGGGGTGTGGGTGGGGGGGTGGGTGGGTGGGGGTGTGGGTGGGTGGGGAAAGAAGAAAGGAAGAGGAGGGACAAGAGTAGGAAGATGAATAGAATGAAGAGGAGAAAGAGAGGACAGAAGAAAAGAAAGAAAAGAAAGAACAAGAGAGAAGAAAAGGGAGAAAGAGAGAAAGGATGAGATAAGGTGAGAGGAGGGAGGAGAAGGAGGAGGAGGATAGAAAGAAAGAAAGGGATAACGAAAAGACAGAAAGGAAAATGGAAGAACACAGAGAGGAGAGGAGGGATTAAAGATAAGAAATAGGGAGAAAAAAGGTGAGATAGGCGAGTGGGCAAACTGGTTTACAAATAGAGCAAATCCACCTCACGTTCCCTGTCTCCTCCTCTCCTCCTCCTCCTCACGTCCCTGTCTCCTCCCTCCTCCTCCGTCCCTGTCTCCTCCCTCCTCCTCCTCACGTTCCTGTCTCCTCCCTCCTCCTCACGTCCCTGTCTCCTCCCTCCTCCTCCTCCCATTCCTGTCTCCTCCCTCCTCACATCCCCGTCTCCTCCCTCCTCCTCCTCACGTTCTGTCTCCTCCCCTCCTCCCCTCACGTCCCTGTCTCCTCCCTCCCCTCCTCCCCTCACGTTCCTGTCTCCTCCCTCTCCATTCCTGTCTCCCTCC